GGTCGTACTATTTTGGGAACGAATTCAGACATATGTCAGAAACAGGGCCGAAGACAGGAATTGTATCTTGCCGATCATGCTGCGAACAGATCGTGAAACCGATTGACAGCGGAACCTGCATGCCACGGCTACACGGACATTCGAAGTGGATCACTGTCCAAGGTTGCAAATGGGCGTTTACTCCACAACCCAGCCCCAAAGCCTTTCACGACCCGGTGAATACCCATGAAGGCCCTCCACAACCCAAAACCCTGACTCCCTGCATAAAGCCTTCATCAACCAAAGATAGACCCTGCTGGAGCGCCCCCCCCCTTTTCCCAACAACATTGCAACGAATCGAAAGCTGCAATGCTGGATTAGGCAAAACACTAAAGCTGGAAAGATGGTGGTGTCCGAAAATAGGGGACCCTCCTGTAGTACCCTACATAGTAGGATCCTTATTATAAGGACCTCCAAATAAGGTACCCCGTATTTTCGGAAACTCCCAAATCTAGTTTCCGGTTCCTAAACCCTAAACTTTAAACCCTAAACCCCTAACACCCTAAAACCCTAAAACCCTAAAGCCCTAAACCCTAAACCCCTAAAACCCTAAACCCTAAACCCTATACTCTAAACCCGTTGAAGGGCCCAGGCCGTCTAGGCCATGAGTTCTACTCGTAAGCATGCCAGCCGCTGCAGCGATCGCGCATCGCCAAGCTCCGATGCCTGATGTCAGGGCCTTAATACTTAGACTATAAGGTCTAAGGTCTAGAAGTTTAGGGGGTTTAGGGGTTTAGGGTTTAGGGCCTTAATACTGAGACTAGAGCTTCATTTAGGCCCCTACATTGACCGTATACAACCTTATAAAGTTCGCACTAACATAAACCCCCCATACGTTACAGGTTATGCTGCCGGAGTAGAAGAACAAAAAACCCTGTTCTACTTCTCCAGCGCTTGTAGGAAGGCAACATGCAAGTCAGCTAGCCTAGTTGCATGACGAATGCCCGAAACACTTCTGTCTGCCAGCAGACGCAGAAGCCGTTTTGGACCAGACTGGTGACCCCGATCCCTTAAACCGTACCAGTGAGCGAACCCCCAAATTGCAGCTCTGAAGCTCTACCCAAATTAAACTTAAACCCTGCACCCAAGGGGAGCCACAAGACTGTAGATCCCCCTTTCTTCAAAGCTTACAAGAGCCGGATTGAGCGGCCTCAACGAATTAGAATAGGTCTTTGGGTAAATAGTGTCAAGAATATAAAAACAAATATGGGTAGTTCTCTAAATTAGGGTCCCCAATATAGTACGGCACCCTTATAAGGAGGACCCTAAAAGAGACCCTAATTTAGACAACTACCCATATAGATACTTGTTGAGATCTTGATTTGAGGCCCCAACTAGCACCAGAATCGGATCCTCCAGCCCCAGCCCATCAAACCCTAAACCCTAAACCCAAACCCGAAAACGGAATGGAGCCCTTCAGCGACCTCCAGAAAGGTCTGCGTCACGAAGTTCGGGTGGACCTTCTTGATAGGGTTTAGGGCTCAGGGTTTAGGGTTTAGGGTTTAGGTACCCAGAGAGCCCACTATGCAAGAAGTGCTTTGAGTTAGAGATAGATCCTGAGTAGTGTTGAAGGTATACTGTTTGCTTAAACTTTAAGCCTGTACACCATCCTGGGGTCCTAGACCTACCCACAAAGCTCAAACCGTGAGCCGTGAAAACGCCGATCTACCCTAAACCATTATCTATATACTGCACTCTAAACCCTAGACCCTTATGGTACCCTTAAGGGTTTCCCTTATGGTACCCTTACGGGTTTCCCTTATGATACCCTTAAGGGTTTCCCTTATGGTACCCTTAAGGGTTTCCCTTATGGTACGGTCTAGCCTTGTGATAAGAAATTTTATTAAACAAGAAATTAGACTCTGGTCGAAACAAAGATAAATTATTTGAGACTTTCGTCCAGAAGGAAATCCTAATTAGTCGTGCTTTTACGCCTTGTAGGCTACAGCAGACTTAGTTCAATGGTTTCTGAGCGATTCGTAGGCACTTTGCGAAGGGTTCGGCCATCAAAGTTCAACGGCGCGTCGTTTTGAAGGGCAAGGTGGCGTTTGGAGCCAAAACGACGCGCCGTTGAACTTGTCCCCCGCCTCCCCCTTCCCAGGCCATCAAAGTTCAACGGCGCGTTGTTTTGGAGGGCAATGTGACGTTTGGAGCCAAAATGACGCGCCGTTGAACTTGCCCCGGCCCGTGCGCGCCCGCACAAAATTGCACTCCGATTCTCCATTTGGGGTGTTTTTGGGTGCAATCGTGATGCTCTGGTGTAGGGTACTGGGTAAACAGACCTATATCCACATGGGCGAGTCGTCAGTGGACGTGATATAGATTGGAGGCAACAGTGTAACGAGTAAAGCCTGATGCGGGCTGGCAAGGGCCTTGGTTTCGAGTCCCCAGGGTTGCAATAAGAAAGATGCCGGGAGTCTGGGGAACTTCCTGAATGTCTTAATGGCAACCCTCGATTAAGAAATATGTGAGACTCTGGTAGATCAATGTAGCTTTCTAAACATAAAGTTCGACCGTACCCTTACCGAACCCTGTAGAACCCTTAACGGATCCCTTATACGTAAAACCGATTCGAAACCCCACCCTGAAGCTAAGGGAAGGGCGAGCTCTTCCTGAGCTGTTTAAGGTGACAAGCATGTAACCTTAAACCCTAAACCCTAAACCGTACCCTAAACCCTAAACCCTAAACCCTAGCCTGAAGAAAAACCAAGCTTCTCGCCAGTATGGCCAGACATGAGCCCTAAATGCCTAAACCCTCTATCTTTAGGGTTTTAGGGCCTCAGGGTTTTAGGGTTTTAGGGCTTTAGGGTTTTTAGGATTTTAAGGGTTTTAGGGCTTAGGGTTGGGCCCCGAAAGGCCTGAAACCCATACCCACGAGCTCTCAAGCCTACACCCCTACAACTGTAAGCCGAAAAGAACCCCAAGACGTGCACTATCAATCCCTAGAGCCACATGATGCAGGGTTTAGGGTTTAGGGT